CCCAGCACTTTGGGAGGCCAAGGTGAGAGGATCACTTGAGCCCAGGAGTTTGAGACCAGCCTGCACAACATAGCAAGACCTTGTCTCTACAAGAAAAAAAATCAACAAATGAGCTGGGTTTGGTGGTGTGTGTCTGTAGTCCTAACAGTTCAAGAGGCTGAGATAGGAGAATTGCCTGAGTCCAGGAGGTTGAGGCTGTGGTGAGCTGTGATCATGCCACTGCACCCCAGCCTGGGTGATAGAGTGAGACCCTGACTCAAAAATAAAACAAAAAAACAAACCAAAGCCACCTAGCAAACAAGAAATGCTTTAGCCTCATTTTCCACATGACATAATGAGCTCAGAGAGGTGAAGTAACTTGTCTGAAGTTTCACAGCTTCCACTGATTGTTCCAGCCCTGCTGCCCAAGCAGAGCTCTGGGACCAGTCATATTGGAGTCTACTCCTCCCAGGTCAGGCTCTTATCAGTCAGGGGACGATCTTGGGGTTCTCCACACACCCTCAGCCTGGCCCCTCCCCGCCTACCCTCCTTCTGGGTTTCTCCAGCCCTATGGAAGGGAACAGCCGGCCAAGTGGCAAAATGTGTGTCACACAGCCTCTCAGGTTAGGCAGAGCCAGGCCCATTCTCCCGTTAGCAGCTGTGTGTCTTCAGGCAAGTCACTTCACCTCTCTGAGCCTCAGGTTCCTGCTCAGGGGCTTAAGTGCATCCAGAGACGTGCCCCACACAGGGCACGTGCTCAGTCCTCAGTGTGTGGAGGATTCGCCTCTTATCACTGTTCCCCCAGAGCTGCTACCTGGAGGGTCTGGGATGCCAGAAGGTGTGTGGCTTTGCGCCTTGGCCCCAAGGAGGAGATCCTGAGGGGCCAGGAGAGGGAGGGGGCGTGTTCATTCGTGAACCTAGCCCAGGAAATCCAGGTGAGGCTTCCTGCTTCCTCCTCTGCCCACTAACAGCTCCCCACTTAGTATCTCCCTTGTCTGGTGTGCTTAACGGTTGGACGTGTGTCCTTGAATTTTCTGGAAATTATTTAGACTTTGATATACCTATGTCATTGTTCTAAACACCAAAGGGAGTGTGCTGTGGCACTGCTCTGCCCTGTCCTTCTTCTGCAGGTTTACCTACTCCCCATCCTGCCAGCTGCCCTCCGTCTATCAGTCAGAGTCTGAGTTCTTGGAGTTCCTTTCCCAGGCATTGGTTCCAGAACACACCGGCTCCAGGCCTGCCTCCCCCACCATACACAGAGACCTGGACCAGCCTCCTCCTCTTTCTGAGCCTCCGTTTCTCCCCCCTTAACCTGGGCACATGCTCCGTCAAGGCTGGTGGCAACGTGAGATGACAGGATGTCTGTTAGTGCCCTCATAATGCGGCACTTAGGAGGTTCCCTGCAAACACTCCCTTTCTTCTTTCGGAGTGCATCTTGGACCATTTTGAAAATGAGAGAGAAAGAGACAGAGAGAGACAGAGATGGTAGGTAGGCAGGTAGGTAGATAGATAGATAGATAGATAGATAGATAGATAGATAGATAGATAGATAGATAGATAGATATTGATAGCTGTGCCAGAGTCTGTCACCTGGCTGGCCTGCGATGAATGTGACCAGCCTCTGGTGGTGGACATTCCCCCTCCAGTTAGTTGCCCCTACAGACATCCTTGTCCATATCTTTTTGTATCCTCATACAGTTATTTCTTTTTTTGAGTCAGGATCTCACTCTGTGGCCCAGGTTGGAGTGCAGTGGTATGATCATGACTCACCGCAGCCTTGACTTTCTAGGCTTAGGCAGTCCTCCCATCTCAGCCTCCCGAGTAGCTGGGACTACAGGCACATGCCACCATACCTGGCTAATGTTCTGTGTTTTTTTTGAGTTGGAGTCTCACTCTGTCACCCAGACTGGAGTGCAGTGGCCGCTCTCGGCCACCGTAGCCTCGACCTGCTGGGCTCCGGCGATCCTTCCAACTGGCTGGAACTACAGGCGTGCGCTACCACACCCGGCTTATTTTTTGATTTATTGTAGAGATGAGGTCTTGCCAAGTTGCCTAGGTGGGTCTCAAACCTGCCGGCGCAGACATTCCACTCATCTCAGCCTCCCAAAGTTGCGGGATTACAGGCTGAGCCACCGAGCCTGGCTTTTTATATTTTTGTAGAGACAAAGTCTCGTTATGTTTTCCAGGCTGATCTTGAACTCCTGGGCTCAGGCAGTCCTCTCGCCTTGGCCTCCCAAAGTGCTAAGATTACAGGCATGAGCCACCATGCCTGGCTGACATATGGTTATTTCTGTAAGGTGACTTTCCTAGGAGAGGAATGACTGGGCCAAAGGGTATGTGTGTTTTGAAATGTGGAACGTCCTGCCAGACAGCCCCTCAGGGACATGGTCTGCTAGGCCGCCCAGCCACAGCACACGAGACATCGAATTTCCTTTCACAAGAGAAAGGGCGTGAAGTGTAGGAAACCAGCCCTTAGCTGCCATTTAGTGAACAAATATTTATTAACCGGGTCCTGGGGCCAGGCCCCATGCCAAACGCTGAGACACACTGGTGAATGGACTTGGATTTTTGTCCTTGAGGCTCACTTGGCCGGGTGGCCCGGGCCGACTCGGACACATGCCATTTCATTATGTTGTGATTGGTGCTATTAATAACGGAAGGTGAGATCAGGCACTGGAGACTCCCAGATCAGGCTTGAATTCTGCCTCCTTCACTTGCGTGGCTGGGTGACCTTGGACGAATCCCTTGACCTCTTGGGCCGTGGATCTCGGGTCCAGGGTCCCCTTGGCTGGTTCCAGCAGGCTTTCTACCAGCCAGCATTCTCTTGGGTCACATTCCTACTGTCCAGTGTCTGAGTCAGTTACAGAAGAAGTCTGGAGGCAGAGTCTTAGAATCCTGCCCAAACATGGCTTGAAAAACCTTCATCGAGCCTTCAGGATCCGAAAGCCTTTCTGGTTGCACTACTTCTTACCAGCCTTCGTATTTTCCACCCATTCACCCGTTCATTCAACAAACACTTATTTTGTATCTTCTCTGGCACATGGCCAGGCACTATGCTAGCCCAAGGCCACTGTGGTAGTGACAGCTGGCCTCTGTCCTCCCTGTCTGGGGCTGGGGTAAGGGGAACACCCACAGTAGAGCGTGCGTCCTCGGGATCTTATGACCTCACAGGTCTTGGTTGAGCAGACAGTGCTGATGGTATCCACCTGCCGGGCTGACCAGGCTTCGGTCCATGCCTTGAGGTTTCAGAAGGAGGCTTCCCAGCCTGCCCTCTAGCTCCGGTCTGGAGTTAGAGCCCTGGGGCACGTCTGCAGGTGCAGAGGGGAGCGAAGGCGGCTAGAGCCCAGTCCCTCCAAGTCAGCTCCAGTCTCATCCTTTGTGCCTGTTCCTCATCCCAGCACCCAGTGGGGCATGGGGGATTCTTCGTTGAGAGGCATCATAACCAGCTTGCAGGTGAGACAGGGAAGGACAGGGGACGGGACACTGGGATCGATGGCTGCTCCTCTCCCATGGGCTTGGCCAGCCGCTGCAGGAGACCTTGGAAACTAATTTCTCTGCTGTAAAACAAGACAAAACAAAACCACGGCCACTCTGCAAATGGATGTGGGGCCTGTTGAGACGCCAAGTGCTGAGAGCCAAGCACAGTTGAAGAGGGTGTGGCCATCATGCTGCTGCTCCTTTAGAAGCAAAAGGGATTTTTACATATACACACAAGCCTGTTGCAGGGTGGGCCAGGAGAGGGATGCACAGGATGCCTTTTTATATGGCTAGATATTTTTCTTAGAATACAAGTTATTACCCTTTTGTAAAAGTAACACCCTTACACGCTGCCCCCATGCTCCTTCTGTGAAGTCTGGGAGAATTTGGGAGTCATGCTAGTATGCCCCATGTCCTGGTGTGGCTGGAGATGCTTGGTGGCAGTCGGGGACATCCCACCCCTCACTCCAAGCCTGAATTTTCAAAGTTCCTTTCCCAGGCATTGATTTCAGAGCACATGGGCTCCAGGCCTGCCTCCCTGCCTCATACAGTGAGCCCTGGGCCAGCATCCTCCTCTCTGAGACTCCGTTTCTCCGCCCTTGACCGGGGCACATGCCCCAGTCAAGGCTGGTGGCAGCGTGAGATGACAGGATGTCTGTTAGTGCCCTCATGATAGGCACATAGTAGGTGCCTGACAAGCACTCCCTCTCTTCCCTCAGAATACATCTTGGACTGTTTGCTTTGAAGATGAGAGAGAGAGAGAGAGACAGAGACAGAGAGAGAGAAAGAGAGAGAGACAAGACAGAGAGAGAGAGAGAGACTGATATAGATAAAAGAGATATAGATTGATAGATAAACAGATAGAGATATATAGATGGATAGCTGTTTTAGATAGTTGGAGGGATAGGTAAGTAGATGGATGGATGAATATCTGTTGACAGATATTCTATTTTGTTTTATTTTTTGAGTAGAGGTCTCTGTCTCCCAGGCTGGAGTACAGTGGCACAATCACAGCTCACCACAACCTTGACCTCCTGGGCTCAGGTGATCCGCGTCAGCCTCCCGAGTAGCTAGGACTACAGGCATGTACCACCACACCCAGCTATTTTTTTATTTTTTATTTTTTGATTGAGACAAGGTCTCGATAAGTTACCTAGGCTCCTGTCAGACTCCTAGGCTCAAGCAATCCTCCCGCCTCAGCTTCCCAAAATGCTGGAATTATGGGCGTGAGCCACCAAACCTGGCTGATAGTTATTTTAGATAGTTGGATGGATAGGTCTGTTTTTGGTAGCTAGGTAGGTAGATGGGTGGGTGGGCGGATGAATGGATAGAGAGAGATGGATCATGGATGGTTGGATAGATGGTAGATAGATAGAAAGAAAAGAAAGAAAAGACAAACAGAGACTAATATAAATAACATAAATAACTGGCTTTAGCATCTACAGTGATGGCTAGATGGTAGATAAATAGAAAGAAAGGAAGGAAGGAAGGAAAGGAAGGAAGGAAGGAAGGAAAGGAAGGAAGGAAAGGAAGGAAGGAGGGAAGGAAGGAAGGAAAGAAAGAAAGAAAGAAAGAAAGAAAAAGAAAGAAAGAGAAAGAAAGAAAGAAAAAGAAACTAATATAAATAACATAAATAACTGGCTTTAGCATCCACAGTGATGGCTCTGCCCATCCAGGTTCAGGCTGCACAGAATGCAGCAGAATCAGCAAGTGGGACTAAGAGTTGTTTTTTTCTTTGCAGGAAACTAAGGGTTAACCAGTTTGTCAAATCACCTTCCCCAAATCACCAAACTCCCCAACATCTCCCTGATGAAAATCCTAATAATGAATGAATGCTCAAGCTATTATTACCTGCCAGGCACCATTTCAGGATCAGTCCTTGTGTTATTTAAATCTCAGAGCAGCCCTGTAAGACAGGTCCTACAATTGCTGTCATTTGATAGATGAGGAAACTGAGGCACAGAGAAGTTAAGTAATTCACCTAGGGACACACAGCAGGTAGACGGTGGCACCCCACCCAGTGTGACCCTAGAGTGCAAGCCCTTCTCACTAAGCTCCTCCGTGATAAGCGCAGATGGGGTGTATGGACCCTTCATGTTGTACTTTGGGGCAAACTCCCTGCCTTACATGGTACCTTTGTGCCTTCTGTGTCCCCAGCCCTGGGCCAGGTACTAGGGCTACAGAGTTTTTGTCTTTCAGAACATCAGTCCAGTGGGAGAAGCAGCCACAGATAACCATACAATGTGGCGCATGTTCAAATCGAGGCTGGGAACACAGAGGAAAGAGTGACCAGCTCCACCTCTGAGACTAGGGGACGCTTCTCATCAGAAGGGGCATTTGAGTTGAGTTTGGGAGGATGAGTAGGAGTTCACCAGAGAGAATGACCACTAAGGAGGAGGGGGATGATGGATATAAAATGCATATTTGGGGAACAGCAATGTGGTTTGGTGTGGCTGAGTGGCGAGACATGGGGTGCAGTGTCAGGAGATGGAGCTGGGGAGCTGTCAGAGCCAGACCCTGGAGTGCCTGTAAGTCCTGTCCTAGGGAGTGACAGGGGCCACACACTCTGGTGTCTCCGGGGCCAGGCAGGTGAGATAAAGACAACTGACAGGGCCGGCTCTGGAGCTCTGTTCTACTCTCTCTGCATTTTATTTTATTTTATTTTTTTGAGTTGGAGTCTCACTCCATCACCCAGGCTGGAGTGCAGTGGCATGCTCATGGCCACCCCAGCGTCGGCCTGCTGGTCTCCAGCGATCCTTCCGCCTCAGCCTTCCAAGTAGCCAGAACTACAGGCATACACCACCACGCCTGGCTAGTTTTTTGATTTATTGTAGAGACGAGGTCTTGCCAAGTTGCCCAGGCTTGTCTTGAACCCAAGGGCTCAGGCAATCCACTTGCCTTGACCTCCCAAAGTGCTGAAATTACAGGCTGAGCCACCGAGCCCCGCCCTCTCGCTGCATTTTAAACACACTGGGCTATTCCTCACTTCCACTAAGAACTATTTCTTCTCTTGAAGCACAGCTTTTGTTTCCTATCTGAGGACACAGGTACAGTGTCGATGGCACCACTGAGGAAGGGGATACACAGCAACAGACACTCTGCCTTAGTCTTGGAACGGAGGCAGGAGGGAGCAGTGGGCCTGTGACGAATTGGTGGGCTCAGACCGGCTGAGGAAATGAGGACTGGGTGTTCTAGAGAAGCGTGGAATCTGGCCTTTGAGTTGAAGTCTGCCGGTGGTTCCACGTGGGCTCCAAATGTCACAATATGTGTCTCTCAGACCAGATGGGACACGTTGTAGACCACTGAGTTATAGCCTCTGTTTTCGGCCAGCCTCTGCCTTCAAGAGCCGGTCTGGCCCCAGGAGGGTCACCCAGGGAGGGAGCCTGATCCAGACCCGTGGGTCAGATCAGCACCAAAAGCAGGCTGCCTTTCTGTGTGCGGCAGCTCCCATGAGGCCACTAGTCAGAAGGCGCTTTGGAGAGTGGGTGGGCACCCCACCCCCACCTGTGTGCTGGGGTCCCCCTCCTCTTCCCTCAAGCTGGCCTCCTGTCATTGGTGCCCACCACCCTTAACTCTTTGCACCCCTGTGTTGTTTTTTCCAGTCTCTATCTGCTGTTGCCTCTTCATCCTCTTCCTCTTCCTCTCGGAGCTCACTGGATTCATAACGACAGAAATGTAAGTCCCGCTTCCCTGATGGGGCAATCCAGACAAGAGGGAGGGGTCTTAAAAGGAGAGAGGGGCTGGGTGTGGTGGCTCACACCTGTAATCCCAGCAATTTGGAAGGCTGAAGGGGGGGAGTGTTGATTGAGACCAGTAGTTTGAGACCAGCCTGGGAAGCATAGCAAGACCCCATCTCTACCAAAAAAAACCAAAATTTTTTTAATGGTTGAAAGGAGAGAAACCTTTAAACTTTCCAACTTCTGTTTCCAAGTCCTTGGCATCGTTTCCCTTCCTGTTTCTTAAAAGGGTTTTATAGTCAGAGAAAAGGTGAATGTCGCTTTGTTAAAGCTGCAGCGAACTTTTTGGTTCCGTTCTGTGGGGCCTGCTGGGTCTGCAGATGAACAGAAATGATTCGCTCATCTCTGCCATCCTTTGTTTGGCCAGTGGGCTTTTTTCCCTCTGAATCACCCCAGGGTCACTTGATGTGAGCGCTGAGGGGTTCAGAGGAACAGGCGCTGCTTCCTACCCGAGGAGGGCCAGGCTGCTGACCTCAGAGCCCGGCCCCCTCCACTAAAGCCTCCTCTCTCCAGCCCACACTTGGTGAGGAATCGCTGTGGGCTTCCTGGCAGCGGCTGACGCAGACTTCATCCATCCTGATTCCTAGAATTATCTGTTGTTCGGATAACCTAGTCAACGCTCCAGGGTGTGTGTAACGGATGCCGTGGGGCTTATTCAGTCCCGACCTCATCGGGAGCCCCCCAGGGATGGATTAGACCCCAGGGCTTCCTGCCTCTGGCATGGGCTTGAGGCTTCAAAGTCTCTTCACTTCTCTGTTTACAACCCCGAAGGTCATCTGGCGCTGGGCCCTGGCCACCCACTCCCCTGTTCAACGCAGGAATTTTCTTTGGTTTCCTTTGCCGACTCTCAGCCTTGAGATGAGAAAACAAAGCACACAGCTGCTTAGCCCCAGGTGGCCTGTTGTGTACATGCATTGCCCTCTTTCATCCCCAAACAGCCCTTTCTGTAGAAGGGGAAACCGAGGCAAGGTACCCGCCTACAGTCACATAGGCGGGAGGCAGCTCCAAGGCCTGCTGGTCTCCCGAGTGCACGTGTCTCCCCAGTATGCTAACCGGCCTCAGGAGACAGGAGCACTGGGCTGGCCCCGTTTCTGGCCGTAGCTTCCTGCCCTCACTGGTGTGGGAGAGTCACCTTCCCCATTGCTCTGACCCTGTTTTTTATTTTGTTTTGTGTGTGTGTGTGTGTGTGTGTGTATGTTTTGAGTCAGGGTCTAACTCTGTTGCCCAGGCTGGAGTACAGTGGCACAATCACTGCTCACCACAGTTTCAGCCTCCTGGGCTCAGGCAGTCCTTCTGCTTCAGCCTCTCCAGTAGCTGGGACCGCAGGGACACACCACCATGCCTGGCTAATTATTTTTTTTTGTAGAGGTGAGGTCTTGCTTTGTTGCCCGGGCTTGTCTCGAGCTCCTGGGCTCAAGTAATCCTCTTGCCTCAACCTCCCAAAGTTCTGAGATTGTAGGAGTGAGCCACCGTGCCTGGCCCTGATCCTGTTTTTAACCTGGATGGCCCAAAGCCCAGGGAGCCTCATGAAAGGGTGGGAAGAGCACTGGACCAGGCATTGGGGCACCCAGGGCAAGATCTCTGCCTGATTACTACTTTGTTGTGTGACCCTGGGCAAGTTGCCAGACTTCTCTGGCTCTCAGTATTGCTGACCAAATGAAGGAGGGTAGTGCAGAGTCAGAGCTCCCTCTAGCTCTGGGAGAGACTTCGTCTGCATCCCAACACATGGCTCCCTGGCTGTGCAGGGTTCCAAGAGGGGGTTTTATTTTATTTCTCCTAAGCCCCTTCTGGGAGGTGACCTTGTCTGAGTCAAACATCTTTCTCTCTGTACAAGTGGGCCACTGGGCAGCACAGGGACCGCCCCATCACGAATTGGCTGTGGAAGAGGGGGGAGCAGCCAGAGATGGAGACTCCCTGGCATTATTAAGCACCTACTGTATGCTGAACACCTGCTGGCCTCTGAGGGTCGCACCCCACTCTCTAGGAGGGGCCCTGCTTGGCAGACCCATCATGTGGCCAGCAAAATGAGAGGGTACGCATGCGACAACAGCAGAGACCAGGCACCAGGCAGGTGGCTTTATGGACTGCAGGCAGGGGCATCAGCAGGTGCAAAATCCCTGAGACAGGGATTCCCTGTCATGTGTGAGGAGAGGGAAGAAGGCCAGTGGGCTGGAGCAAAGTGGACAGGCAGGGAGGGCGGAAGGTAGAGTGGGCAGACGCGAGATGGGCCAGGCCTGCTGCACAGCCAGGTGGCAATGGGGCTCACTCCCTGATCCTGAGCTTCTGGAGCCTGGGATCAGGTCTGCTCACCCGCTGCCATGTGACTCTGTGCTCGGAGATGCTGGAAATGCCAGCAGTGGACACAGTCATTCAGGAAACAAATTAGGCCATAATTGCTGAGTAGTGGGTGCTTTGGAGACAAAAACCAAAGCAGAGCAGGAGGCAGAAAGCCAGAGGCTGCCGATATGTGACACTGGATGAGGGCCCAGCGAGATTATTTAGCTGAAAGATACTTAATGGAGTGCCTGATATACCTTCATAGCAACTGGTCCATGACTCTGCAAGCGTGTATCCATTTCCTATGTCTTCCCCATCTTACTCCAAAAGGGCTTTTTAAAATTTTGTTTTTTATAGAGACAGGGTTCTCACTCTGTTGCCCAGACTGGTCTCGAACTCTTGTCCTCAAGCCATCCTCTCACCTTGGCCTCCCAAAACGCTGGTGTTTCAGGCATGAGCCACCTCACCCAGCCTAAAATGGTTTTAAGGTCACCCACACTTGGTGTCTATGTTCAGCAAATGTTCATTTTCTTGTTCCCTCTCCCTCCCTCTCACCTCCTGCTAACAGTGTGAGGGTGGTGTCCACGGAAAGGGTGCCGCTGAGGCAACAGGCCACAGACAAGTGAGTTTTGACATCATAGCTTGAGGCTTAAGCAGGTAGGGCCACTGTGGGAGAGCTGAGTGCGGGACAGGGCCCTGCCAGCCTGGGCAGCTCATGCTGGTTCCCAAGGGCAGGGCTGGCCTCTTTTCTGGTGCTTCTGCTGCCTTGCTCCTGGGGGCATTGTGGACACCCTGATCCCACTAAGTCCTGGAGAGGTAGAAAGATGAGGGGTGGGGGAGGAATAAAAACACTTGGGGGTGGGCGCCATGGCTCACTGCTGTGGTCCCAATGCTTTGGGAGGCTGAGGTGGGAGGATTGCTTGAGCCCAGAAGTTTAAGATTGGCCTAGGCAACATAGTAAGCCCCCCAGCTCCCCAAAAAAACACACAATGCTTGGGCAGGTATGGAGCTATTGCCTGGGGTGTGGCCCTGGTTGGAGAAAAGGAGGGAGGCTTGGATGAACACAGCCCTGTCCTGCACTGGGCCAAGCTTCCCCATGAAGGTGCAGGGACCCAGCGTCCCTTCCCCACCCCCTCTTCCCATACTCCCTTCTCCACCCCCCACTACCTCCCAGGGATGAGCCCTGAGGCTGGCATGAACAAGCAGGAGGAAATAGCTTTGCACCTTTGGGGTCTTCTGGTTACCCTGGGAAGCCCTGCAGCTGTGGGAAGAACTGGAGCCCACAGTTCCTCTCCTTCCCTGGGCGACTGGCCCCCTCAGGCAGATTGGTGACCACCATGGGTCAGTACCCCTCCCCCACCATGAGATCCTCACCCAAGGAAATGAGGTCACCGCTGGATGGATGCACATGGCTCCAACCCCAGCCTGCGGTTATCAGCGACATGAGACGCTCATTCTGGCTGGGCCTGGCGGGGAGAGAGGCGTGTTTGTTTGGGTGGTTGGGCGCCAACCTGGGCTTTGGACAGGCCAGTAATTACCCCTGGGAACACAGCCCCGCGGGGTGTTCTGAGACTATGTTTCCAGGGAAGCAGCCCCCTCCTCAGAGAGCCTGGCCAAAGAATGTTCCGGCTCTCACTGTCCAGGCTCTGACTGCTCTTCGTAATTATTAACCTCATGAGGACATATGCTAATAAATGTGGTGCATAATTTGTAGCGTAGTAGGACTCACAGTGCTTTCCAGGGGTGATGAATCATGTGACCACAGGCCAGCCGCCCAGGTCGGCCCTTGCAGCAGTCATCTCATTTGATCATCACTGAACCCCTTGAGATGGCTACCACTGTTAGCTCCATGTTACAGCTGGGGAAACTAAGGCACCAGAAAGCTAAAACCCCAGAAGCTTAGGAAATGGTGGAGCTGAGGTCAAACCCAGGTCTGTGTGACCCCAAAGCCCAGACCTGACACCCTCACCCCCTCCACCGCCTGGCACCCCCACCCCCTTTACCACCCAGCACCACCCCCCCAACACCCGACACCGTCACTCCGTTCATCACCCAGCACCCCCACCCCATCCACCACCCTCTGCCTGGGCATTTTTGGGGCCCAGGTGCATGGAAGTCACTGGTTTTTGGTTCACATGGTTGACTGGAAGATGGGGATGTGCCTTCCAAGGTAAGGCGGCGGCCAATCCGGCAGGTGGAGTCCCAGGAAGTGGAGTGTGGGAATCCGCTGAGTTGTGTTCATAGGCTCCCATGGCAGGCCTGGAACGGTGCAGCCAGGAGCTCACCCAAGTCCAATGCCCTCCGATCCCAGGTTACCTACCTTGAGCCGGGGGCGGGCCAGGCTGGGGGAGAGGCCCGCATGTCGCTTGAGCCAAGAGGGGGGTGTCGATCTTAGCAGTGTAAGACCTGAGGGCTCCGGGGCATGGGTGACAGGTCAATGTCCCCGGGGAGGTCACCTCTTGTGAAGATGGGCTTGGGGTGGGGTGACCCGGAGGCCAAGGTCCTGGTAAGGAGCCAGGTGGTGGTTCAAGGCAGAGGAACTGAAGTGCAGGAACCCAGGCCTTGGAGCAGGGGTGAGCAGGATGGGGCAGCGGCTATGAAGGGATGCATTTTGGATACCCGCCTCGGCGGTGACAGATGCACTTACTTTTACCTGTAAGA